GTTTTAAAAAACTGATTAAATTCTATGATGGAAGTACGTTCAGGGTGACGTGGAACCTGAGAGACTGTCCTCTCTAGGTGGTGTTTAAGGTAGGCTGTTATCGCATCTCTGTGTGGACATTTCTGGCTATCCCAAACACCGATTCTAGTTTTAGATCTTACATCTTTCTTTGAGCTGAAGTCTGCCTCTCAGTAGTTAGTTAGCAGGCCCCGTGGCAAACTGTGAGTACTTGAACCACCTAAATGGGCACCCAGGTATGTCCATGCAGCCATGGAGGCCCAGAGTTGCCAGGTCTTCTAATATTTGAAGAGAAGCTGGAAGTTTTTATATGAAATCACCTATTTTATTGTGTGATGAGCATGCACCAGGCACTGTGCTAGACACTGGGGATGTAGCCATGAATATGTCAGAGAGCCTTTCCCCTGGAGAGCTTGGTATCATTTCTGTCTGCCACCTTTCTCCAGGTTGAGTGTCCCCCATTTCCTCAAACCTATCTCCCTGAGACATCACTTAGAGACCCTTCCCCCAGCATCCTGGAGCTGTCCTGTGAAGGTGCTCTGGCGTTGAAGTAGCACCCTGAGGGGCTGCTGCCTCACATTGGATACCACCCACGTTCCCTTTCCCACTTGCACAGAGAATGCCTCCCTCTTCCTTATCTCTGTACCTGGTAGGTTCTCCTACTGCTAGAATTCTCTCACTTTTAATCATCTTTCTCTGTTTCTCCTCTCTTTCACCTGCTATGTTGTTAACTCTTCAGTAGCCAATGCTGTGTCTTCTCTTTGTATCTCTGGGCTCCACGTTATACCTGGCATCTAGCAGTTGCTCAATAAATATCTGTTGGAGTAAATTGAAATGAAAAATATTGACTTAGGCGGTTCCCTGACTGTCTATTGGTAGTTTGGTCTGTTTCGGTAACCAGGACACAGTAACTCGGAGCTTAGGATAGACTAACAGCCCTTGGACATACCATGTGTAGAGTTTTAATCTGGATTGCGAATATCTTGTTCTCTTTTATGTCCAAATGTGGGTCTTTACTGTTACCCATATTCTGTCGAATCCTGTTAGAATTAAGTAACAACTTCAAGCATTTAAATTCTTTGTGAATCTCAGTCTCCCAGTACAGTAACTAACTCTCCTTCCCAGATACAGGCCTTCTGCAGGCTTGGTTAGCATATACTATAGGTTCATTTAAGATTTTGGTAAAAATATTGAACAGCTCAGAGATATTATCAGAACCCTGTGACGTACCCTGGAGGTCTCCATCTGAGGAGACATTGATTTATTATTCACCACTCTTTGTGTGTGCTGAAACCTGTCTTATTCTATCTTGTATGCAAGGAGATCCTGAGAGATTCTGATAAATGTCTTTGTTAAAATAAAGATGTGATGCATCTATCACATCCCGTCTCCTATTAACATGTGAATTAGTCAGTTAACTCCCTTTTTGTGAACCCCTGTTAGCTCCCAGAATCAGATTCTTTTTCCAGTGCTCACAAATAGAATAAGTTCTAAAATTTTGTCATCATTTCATCTTAAGCTCACTTGTCTATAATTTGGAGAGTTCTTTCTCCATCTTTTAGACATTTAGAAAACTCTCCTAATTCTAGATTTTTGGTGATTTCTCAAAGCTTAGATTCACTAGTGTCAGGTACCATGTGAGAGGCTTTCACACTGCTACCTCATCACTGCAGTGGTTCCCCATTCAGCAATTAAAAAAAAATATTTTGGCATCTACTTGAATCCACTTAAAACACCAAGCACTCTGTCCTAACCAATTTCCAGATATAATCTATATGGATAACATCTGCACATTTTCAGATATGATACATATGGACACAAAGGTGACTCATGCCTACTATTTTGTATCATTTTGGAAGGGGAAAGGAATGTATGTTAAGTACCTCATAAAAGTGTGGTAATATAGTAATACGGTCGGTCGTCTTCAGTGATGCTTTTTACTTTCCAAATGGTTGAATAACAAATAAATTAGAAAAATAATAGGTCTTTTGTTTTCTTTTTAGAAACAGTGCTATTATTTGTAATCCAGAGTTATGATCTAAAGTATAATATGTGTGGGAATAGTCAAATCCATAAGGGTTTTGGTTTATTAGGTGCCTTTCCTTCTCTGTATTGCCGTTTTTGTAATTAACACAGTGAGGTGCATCTTTTAGATTGACAGGGCCATTTCCATCTCTTCCTCTACTCACACTCACAAGACTTCTTGTGGGAGTTCGCTCCCACACCAAGCAATTCTCCGACACCTGCTGGGTGTCCTAGAATTCGATTCAGTCCTGACACTCCCTACCTGGAGTTAGCATCAGATCCGCCCAGGTAAGGGCTTGGTTCTACACGATTGCCCCACTTCAGACACCAGTCACAAGTACTGGGTCCCCAGGTTACCCCCATTTATGTCTGACCTGGCTACAAGTTGGGGGTTCCCAGAACCCCCTCCTCAGCTTTGATAATTTGCTGTAATGGCTCACAGAACTCAGAGAAACACTTATGTTTACCAGTTTATTACATAAAGAAGGGTATGATAAAGTGTACAGATAAACAGCCAGGTGAAGTGATGCACAGACTAAGGTCTGGAGGGTCCTGAGTGCAGAAGCTTCTGTCCCTGTGGAGTTGGGCTGCATCACTCTCTGGGCATGTTGATGTGTTCACCAACCTGGAGGCTCTCTGAACCCCATAGTTCAGGGAATTTTATGGAAGCTTCATCACGTAGGCATGATCGATTATTAACTCAGCCTCCCTCACCTATGCCCTCCCTGAGGATGGGGGTAGGGCTGAAAGTTCCAAGCTTATAATCGCACGTGATCTTTCTCGTGACCAGCCCCCATCCTGAAGCCATCCAGGAGCCCAGTAAAAGTCACCTCATTGGAACAAAAGACACTCCTATCTCCCAGGGAATCCAAGGGATTTAGGAGCTCTGTGTCAGGAACCAGGGCCAAAGACCAAGGATTAGAACAAAAGGTGCTCCCATTGCTCTTATCACTTAGGAAATTGCAAGGAATTTACGAGCCCAGTGCCAGGAACTTGGGGGCAGAGACCAAATATTAAAACAAAAGACGTTCCTAGCACTTGTATCACTTCCGAAATTACAAAGGTTTTAGGGCCTCTGACCAGGAGTTGGGATGAAGAGCAAAATATATATTTCTTACTATATCACAATATCACATATATATGTATATATATTTTTGAATACTTTTCTGGTTATTTCCTTACAGAAAATTCCTAGAAGTGGAATTTTTGGCCAAAAGTTGTATAATTTTTAAAGCCTTTGATACATGTAGACAACCTAGAGACCTTTCAGTTTGGGCACCCACCTACCACATGTGAGATTGCCTGTTTTCTCTCATTGAGATGGGTGTGAATGAATTTTAAATGAATGGCTTAGCTGGTCTGGAAAACTCAGCCTGATGAAGTGAGAAACAGTGTAAAATCAACCTCAGGGGGATGGGCTGTCAGGGAACTGCACCCCTGTTCCCCGAGGATAGGGACTTGGTCTTGTCCTTCTCAGAGCTCCGCCATCCTGAGCTTTCTGATTTCCGGCAGCTCTATCGGCCTGTGGGCGTCCTCTTGTACTGGAATGGGAGGGATGCTGTTCTCCCTTCTTTAGCTGGATGTGCCAGTCCCCTAGTTCACTGCCCTTTCCTCTTTCCTTCTGAATGAGGTATTTCACACTGGGCTCCTATCTTAAGGATCTTGGGGGTGTGCACAGACTCATGGGTCTGTCAACACAGCTGTCTGGAATCTTGCTTTGGAGCCCTGGAGTTGGATCCCTCACAGCAATTCATTTTTCTAGGCTTAGTTAGGACCATGGTTACTTCAGTGGGAATGAAAATTGAGTTGATTAAGGGACTATGACATTTAGATTCATATGTCCAAATAAAGCCTGAGATGTTTAAAATTCTGTAGGTTAAAGCTGTGTATGAATCAAGTCAAGTGTTTAGAATATGCATATGCCATCGCTAAAGCTGACTTTTAGATTCTTCATTGTTTTTGGCAAACAGGAGGTGTTTGTGTAGGAGAAGCAGATCAAGAGCATGAGAATAAAGATGTGGTATTACTGTTTTGGTAAACTGGGCTGGAGTCTAGACAGCTATAGGCAGTACCACTTAGGGTGTGTATGCTCTCCCAAGAGAACCCTTCCCTATACAATTGTATCTTTTCTATAACCCTACAGACTCAGTTGGGGACATTCTGTCCTGTTTTTAAATTAAAGGCTACCTTCAGAAGTCTCTCTGTTGTGCATTTCTGTCTTAGGAAAGTGTTTTTTAAGATGTTGAACAATTAATTTCCCTTCTCTTTGTGGTTCTCTTTTTAGTTTCTTTGTTGTAATCCTAGAATTCAGATTCTGAGATCTATAGGAATTTATGTTAGAAAACATTTAATACAAATTCTGAAATGCTATGTTCTTTCTCATCCTTATAATTTCTGCTACAGCTGGTAATTGTGGATAGGTGCCCTGAAGATCCCTTGTGGAGTGGTAATTAACGATGATTCCTTGTGCGTAATCTGAAAATTTGGTTCCTGGTGGCACCGTAGGTGAGAGAACACAGTCATACCTGGTTTGTCTCAACCTTGACCACAGCCGCAGTTTCCTGCTCTCTTTCTAATCTGTGGTGGCCATAGCTCTGACCCACAGCGCTGTGGACTTGCCTCTAACACTCAGCTGCTCAGGAAGAGGTGGCCATGGTACTGGGGGGTGTTTATATCAGCCAGGGAGTGAGGGAAAAAGGGGTGGCGTGCCTGTCTGCCTGCCTTCTCAGTGAGGCCACAGTTTTCCGAAGTAATATTGTATTGCATTTGCAGTGATTTCTGCAGATAGCAAAGTTTTTAGATAGGAAAAAAATTACACTCAGATGCACAGAATCACCTGATATTGGGAATCATTTAAAAATAATTAATTGAATAACTTATCTTTTAAAAGGATGGATTTCCTTTGTTTGTGCTTATGCTCTGTTTGTAGCTAATTCAGTTTTTGTTTGTTTTTACAGGCTAAACATCTTTTTGACTGGCATGAACCCATTCTACTTTCATGCAGTAAATGTCATTTTACACTGCCTAGTGACCCTTGTGCTGATGTACACCTGTGACAAAACTGTCTTCAAGAATCGTGGACTTGCTTTCGTTACGGCATTGCTTTTTGCTGTGCATCCTGTTCACACAGAGGCGGTGAGTGTCACTGGAACTCAATGAAATAATGAAGCAAAAAAGTGATCCTGGGCTTCCTGGTGGCGCAGTGGTTGAGAGTCCGCCTGCCGATGCAGGGGACACGGGTTCGTGCCCCGGTCCGGGAGGATTCCACGTGCCGCGGAGCAGCTGGGCCCGTGAGCCATGGCCGCTGAGCCTGCGTGTCCGGAGCCTGTGCTCCACAAGGGGAGAGGCCACAACAGTGAGAGGCCCGCGTGCCGTAAAAAAAAAAAAAAAAAAGTGATCCTTTTCCCCTTTCGAAATCATGTGAATTTAAAGCTCTACTAAAGTGTTTATATATAAATCATTCTGCTTGACAACTTTTCTTTCTGAATGTTCAAATGGCCTTTACTGCACCTTCAGGATTTCACACCTGTTATTCATACCTGTTATTATTACAGGTGGTAATAAATGACCACAGTTCTTTATCTGCAGAAAATTTAAGTCCTAATGTGTTTTAAACAGCAAGGGGCATTTTGAGATACTTACGCTGAGTCATTGTTCGTGCTCTACAGTTTTTTAACCTTTTCTCACTCTGCTTTATGTTTATAATATTCATGATGCTCAACTGTAAGTGCTAGGTGAGAGACTATAAAAAGTTGAACTAACATTCTTCAAGTTAGACACATTTAGGAGACTTACCATCAGTTTTCCAAGTTATTTAATATGAATTGTAGTTATTTGGTGGATAATGAGAAATTTATTTAGAAAATATAGATAGTTTAGACCTGTGCTCTTATTTAAAATATGGACTTAATCATGCACCAAGATGGCGTCATCCAGCTAACCTTGTTTCACATCTCTATAACCACAGTTGGTTTATTTCATGTGTATTGCTAGGGGTGGATGAAGACTTTCCAAGGGGTATGTGGGTACCACAGTTTTAAAAGAATTGTTTCCAGAGGCTCAGGTTGCATCCGGACACTTTCCTGCAGCTCACATCTGGGTCTGAGTGCACACCTGGGGGAAAGGTGTCAAATTGATTCTCCTCTCCCTGTTCCCCTTTCAATTGCCTTTTTCTTATTTAAAGAAAAATAAGGAATGTCTTGCATACATTTACTATGCCCCAGGGGTACAAACAGGCACCTTACAATGAAACAATTTGATATATTGGTGTCAGCCAGGTCTCCTCTAATTAAGGCATCATAAACCCAAAGTAGGGCTTCCTGTCTTTTTCTGTCTTTACATATTTCTGTGAGGAATGCAGCATGGCATTAGAAGTAGGCTGTGGTGGCCTGTGAGATTCTGGTTGTCATGGGGATGTATAATATGTTCATTTGATCTGACACAAGAAGCCTGATTTGGCCAATTGGCTTAATAATGAGAAATGGTTAGGCCATATGATTTACGTTTGCCACAAACAAAATTCTAAATCTGTAAGCTCAATGTTTTGACACAAGTGAGAGTGATAAAGAGCGAGTGATAAAGAAGAAGATGATTTTATAAAAAATTACTTTCTTAAGGGTACTTTTTCCAGCCCTTTCTGGGTATTTTGGACTGAACAAGGTACCTGTAAGTGGAAGACTATTAAGTATAAGTAATAGTCCTTTACAAAGTCTCAGTCAAGCCTTTTTGCTGTACTTCTGAGAAACTGTGAAAGCAAACGAAACTAATAACAGGTAACTCTAATGATGGATACACTTCATTTATTTGCTTTCAGCCAGATTAAAGGAGAACCTGATAGAATTGTCTGCTGGTAGATCATTAAACATTATGCAAGATGATAGATCACCATGATTTTTCAAATAACTTGGGTGTTCAAAGAGTTAAGTCACTGTATAACATGGCTACTTCTGTCCTCATTTATGTAAGCAGTGTTTAAATACAAAAGCTATGGATAGAACTGATGCCGCATGCTTTCTTATTCTAACAAAAAATAATATTCAGTCATAGATAACTGAATTTATTAAAAAGAAAGCTACAACTGTATTATTAAGAGGTGTATTTTTATATTTAATAATTTATCATTTTTTCTAACTTACGATGTATTTAATAATTGAAAATAATAGTAATTGGACTAATAATACAAAATTGAAAATTAGCACTTAGGTGTTTTGATCACAGGAAATTTAAAAAATAAATTGAATTGCATATGTATTTTTACTACAGAGAGAGATAATAAATATAATATTTAAAAATGTAACTATAACACATTAAGAAAAAATGCTGAGGGAAATAAAATGGAAATATGAGTTTAAGGGGAAAGGGTGTAAAATGTCTATCATTTAGAGAAGAGCCTGTTCATATTTGTGTAAGGGGAACATGATGAGCTTCAAATTGCTGTGGTATGTTTCAGGTGCATTTGGTACATTTAAAGGAGTAACATTATGGCGTTATTTTAAAATGTCAGTTTCTAAAATGCACAAGAAGTTAGATCCTTTGAATTATTTAAAATTATGATGAAAAATTTTAGATGTGAATTTTAAAAGATGAGAGCAATGCATAAGTTTTCAATATAATTGTTAGATGAAGAGAAATAATCAAGGACCACTACTCCTAGCCATATAGAATATATGACACCAGGTCAGTGGCAATGTTTTAATCTAAGCCCATCAACAATATTATGTTTCTGACAAATAATTTCATAAGTAGAGTTAAAAATTCGTGCTTAGAGTGTCTTGGAGAAAATTTTTGTAGGAAAGAACAAATGAGTAGAATAAGAATGGTCCTAATTCTGTGCTTGCAGAGAGGGAGAGCATAAAATGCAGGTAATCTCGGGCAGTGTGATCATGAGCTAGCTGGAGTTCTAAGAAAAAAGGAAAATCCTGTTAGCAAAATGATCTGTAAGAAAGGGTTTCACAAATACCGTATGCTAACACATATATATGGAATCTAAAAAAAAATAATTGTTCTGAAGAACCTAGGGGCAGGACAGGAATAAAGACACAGACATAGAGAATGGACTTGAGGACGTGGGGAGGGGGAAGGGGAAAGCGGGACGAAGTGAGAGAGTAGCATTGACATATATACACTACCAAACATAAAACAGCTAGCTAGTGGGAAGCAGCTGCATAGCACAGGGAGATCAGCTCAGTGCTTTGTGACCACCTAGAGGGGTGAGATAGGGAGGGTGGGAGGGAGACGCAAGAGGGAAGGGATATGGGGATATATGTATATGTATAGCTGATTCACTTTGTTATAAAGCAGAAACTAACACACCATTGTAAAGCAGTTATGCTCCAATAAAGATGTTAAAAAAAAAAAAAAAAAAAGGTTTCAAGCAGCTTTTGTACTAATCGGAAAAAAAAAATCCATGGTAACACAATTATGGGGACAAAGGAGCCTGAGAGCTAGAAATTTATTTGGGGAAAAATCTTAAAGAAACTATTTGCATTCACAAGGAGATGGGGGAGGCATAAGAAGGCAAAGAAATTTGACCTGTATAATAAACTATACTGGAAAGTAAAATCATGAGACTGTTATTTAATTATAGATATTAGTTCAGGTTTCTAGAAAGGAGGGCAGAGAAATAGAGAAAAAGAAATGTGTGTTATGAAAACATAGTGATACATTATTTAAGAAAAAGAAAAACAGACCATAGTGTGATGAAAGAGGAAGTTAGTAGGATGTGTCTCCTCTTTGTTAAACAAGAACAAAAATGAGACCATAAATTACAGCAGGAAGGATGGAGGGCTTAAATTGCGGGGAGAGGGTTTAGTGTAAACATGTTGATATGATTAAGGATTTGCTTTCTTAATTACGTAACCAACAAATTGTTAAACGAATGCTTGCTTAGTGCAGGCCCTCTGCTAGGTGCCAAGGGGGTATGTGGGTGGGCAGTGGGGTCCCTACCCACAGTTTGTTCATAAGCTCCTAGAAAAGCCAAAGAGCATACACATAAATACGTATAAGACAAAGCAATATGTTGTAATAAAACTGAAATTCCAGCGAAGGGAAAAATTATTTCCAGTTTAAGTAGAGAGGAATAAATTCATTTAGTTATGTAATTTTTCAACAAATATTTGAGTGACTATAATACAGTCAATCAGTGCAGGGCTATAGCAGTGAATAAGATAGACCTAGAGCTTTCCTCATTGACGGCCTTGTGATTCTTGGGTTTCCTGACAGTATATTTCTTGGGAAATCTATGTTTTTCGGAATCCCGAATCACGAGAAAAATCAGTAGAGAAATTGGGAAAACGGGGAGATCATTGTAATTCTCCTTTGAGAATTAAAACTTAACAATCATCACAGAGACATTACTGTTTGAAGGAATGCACTTCTGTCCAGTCAAAAGCAAGAGCAAGAAATGCTGACACATGGAGTTGAAGGTTAGGGTTGACGTTTCCACAGCTGGGACAAGAGTACTTAGGAGAAAATTGGTCATGATCTCATCAGCCAGTTTGGCTTTCAGCTGTTGCCATGTGTTAAGTATGTGTTCCTGGCTCAGTCTGCCACCAATAGAACTCATTTTGCAGGTAAAATAATTAATAAATATAATAGCGATAGTCCAAGAAATAACAAGTTTTGGGGGCAAATTAAGTCCTTACTTGGCAGTTTCCACATGTGATTCTGTTAAGCCTGCTAGGAGGTCTGAATGTTACATTATTTGAATTCTACTCAATTATGTTCACTGATTTTTTTCAAATGTTTGAATATTTGTTAAAGGAATACAGTTCCCAGGTTACAGCTACCTGCTTGGTGATGGAAACCTGAAGCTTAAGGGAAGAAATACATGCTCTCCATCTCTTTGTATATTTGACCAAGTCCTTTTGTACTTCCCAGCACCCTAGGTTCAGCCTGCATTGTCACGGGATCAAGCCCAAGGGGTGACAACTTGATGTTCCATCTTTGCTTCTTGTTGCCCACTCCCACCCCCTTTTCATTTATTCCATGCTCTCATCACTTTAACCTCCCCTTCCAGGAACACCCAGTATGCTTTCAGGACTCTCTTTCCTCTGCCTGGAATGCTTCTGCACTCCCTCTCTGGCCCAAGATTCACATCCCCCTGTCTTGAGTTTCCTGAAGTCCTCCTCGCTTGACCTTTAAGTCTCAGTGAATAAGGCCAGCCTTTCCACGAAGCCTTCCCAGATCCTACAGTCCAAATTAATGCCTTCAGTCTTCTCATGGCAGTGATCTCTCCTCTTTACAATACATGCAGTTTCCTTGTAACCTCTTAATGCCCTCTTTGACTCCTCACCAGATGTTAACTGCTTGGGGCAGGTTTAATCCCTCCGGCTGGCATAAATACCTGGCAAATAGGAGGCACTTGTTGAATGTTTGTTGACCGGCGTGAAACATGCAATTACTGAACAAGATGATGTTGACGAATTGACTCACTGTGTGGCTAGTCTGGACAGATAGTAGTTGATGACAAGCACCTTGTTTTTAAGACACTAACCCCCTTGCCCCAGAGACCCCAGCTTAACAGGGATACAGAGTAGGCGTTCAGTGACTGCTTGGTGGTTTGGAGCCGGCAGCAGAGCCTCTCAGTGTTAGCACTGACATTTCAACACCCGCTCTGAGCTTCTGCTCCAAGGGACACTCCATTCTTCAAATCTGGGCGTGTCCAGCTGGCACACGCTGCTATTGCTGCTGCTGTTTCCCGGCAGAGCCAACTGACTACAGTTTGAGGAGCAGGGCTTCAGGCGCCTTGAAGGCACTAGTTATGCCTGCCTAGCTTGTGATTGCCTCATTCCAGCTTGCCACACCCAATATCAGCTTGCCAGTCCTGCTGTTGTCTGGGTTGGCCACAGCAGTAGTGCTGCGTTGGGTGTCCCCCTGGGCCCAGACGCCTGGGCCTTATCCCAGGACTTTGTTGCTGGCGAGCTGGGCTCTCTGTTTAACCTCCCAGAGGCCTTGCTGGTGATGCCGAGCTCAGTGCTCAAATGGGCGGTGCCTGTAGCCTGAGCGGGCCTGGGCTTCACAAGTGAACCGTGTGCAGTTGTTGCTTTACGAACTGTGAGTCTGAGCTGGGCCTTGACACCGAGGTGAAACCACACTGTCACTAATAGACATATTGGATTATCTAATAAAGTTAACATAAAATATCATACATGTAAACCTTAAAGTAAAAAGATGGTTTCCATACATCACGCAGAAAAACCCGTCTCACTGTTAAGAGTCTCACCCCCTTTCTCTGCAGGGAAAAGGAAGAAAGAAGGGCATCAACGATGAGTGGGCACTTTGTATATATCATCTTACTTATTACGACAGTAACGTGAGTTAGGGGGTGTAATACTCATTTTAAAGATAACAAAACCAAATCTCAGAACTTAAAGATAACAAAGTTGAATCTCCCTCAGTTGGTTAGGGGAGCCTGTATTCAAGCCTTGGATGGGCTAGCTCAGCGGTCCCCAACCTTTTTGGCACCAGGGACTGGTTTCGTGGAAGACAGTTTTTCCACAGACCTGGGGTGGGGAATGGTTTCAGGATGATTCGAGCACATTACATTTACTGTGCACTTTATTTCTGTTATTATTCTGTTGTGATATATAATAAAATAATTATGCAACTCACCATCATGTAGAATCAGTGGGAGCCCTGAGCTTTCAGTTGCTACTCACTGATAGGGTTTTGATATGAGTCTGCAAGCAGTTGATTTATTATGGTCTCTGTGCAGGCAAACCTCTCTGCTAATGATAATCTGTATTTGCAGCTGCTCCCGAGCGCTAGCATCACTGCCTCAGCTCCCCCTCAGATCATCAGGCTTTAGATTCTCATAAGGAGCGTACAACCTAGATCCCTCGCATGCGCAGTTCACAGTAGGGTTTGCGCTCCTATGAGAATCTAATGCCTCCACTGACCTGACAGGGAGCGGAGCTCAGGCAGTAGTGTGAGTGATGGAGAGCGGCTGTAAATACAGATGAAGCTTCGCTCACTCACCCGCCGCTCACCTCCTGCTGTGCGGCCCGGTTCCTAACAGGACACAGACCACTACCATCCATGGCCTGGGGATTGGGGACCCCTGGTCTAGCTCCATGTGTGTGTCATTGCCTCTCCTTTATGACTGCAAAATTTGCTTATTATATGAAGATATTTATAGGTATATTTCCCAGAAATCTATTTTCCACTATTAATTGTTGATTGATTCTCCAACACACCATGGGCTTCACGTCTTCTGTGATTTGGGTAAGGCTGTTTTCTGTGCCTGAATGTCAAGTCTGTTCATTTCCCTTGCGAATTCTTCCTCTTATGTGACCTTTTCTTTGAAGCATTCTTTGAACCATACCCCATTTTTTTCCTTTACAGTTTTATTTCCTGGATTTCAAAAAATTAAGAGAAATGTACACGTTTTGAGTAGTGAAATAATACAAAGATTTATAAATAGCCATCTGTCCCCACCCTTCTTCCATTTCAGTCCCTTTTTGAAGTAACACAATAAAAAAAATAATTTCAAGCTTAAAAAATGTAGTGACCATATACTCTATCCAGAGTCACCAATTTTTAACATTTTACAGCATATGTTTTATCATCCTTCCACTCTTTCTTCTTCAATATATAAAAATATTACTTGCTTTCTGAAGCATTTAGAGTAGGTTGCATAATTCATACTCCTTTACACCTTAATAATTTCGTTGTATATTTTCTAAAACCAAGGCCATTAGTCACTGTTTCTTTTTAGCCTCCTTTAGTCTTAAGTTTTGAACAGTCACCAGTCTTCAGTGTCTTTCTATGATATTATTTATATCTTTAAATGTAACTTAAAATTTATATTAGGATTATATATAATATACAGTGTTATTAATATATTTGTCTTAATATTGTAATTGACACTGGTTTATCATTTATTGCTGTCCTTATTTATTATGATGTTCAAATTGTTGCATATTTGGTCAGTGGGAGCCCATTGTTACTGGCTTCTGTGTCCTATTGACATGTACCTGTCATTTTTTGAGCACTTACTTTCTGACATGAGAAGATGATCCAAGTGCTCTTGTATCTCCTGAGTCTCAACCCTGGAATCAGCTGCTTCTCCAAGGGGCCCATGTTCTCTTTAGTGGATAAATGGCCTGTGGTTAGTGCCAGGATGGCTCTTTGCTACTGGGGTATTTTGCTTTCAGACCCTTTTGGTGATGTTGCTAAGAAACACATAGACGCATGCACGTACACTCACACGTAGTGATGATGAGTTCATACTCCTTCCCATTCTTGTCTTATTTTTTTCCTAGTGCTCTGTAAGCATCCTCTGTTCCATTAGCACTCTGGTGCCCAAAGACTAGCACAGTGTCCAGAACTCAGTCATTGCTCAAAAAAATATTTTTGAAAAAAAACAGTAAATGAATATACTTTGATGCTGTGAATTGATCTTCAATAGAAGAAAGGTTAAAAATGAAGTTAAGCATGAAAATCTTGCCCCTTCCTTCCTCTTTTTCTCCTTCTTTAAAATTATTGTTAAATATAACCAGAAGTGGTTAGTCGTATATCAGAATTTAAAGAATAATGTGTTTTCCAATTTATTATTCCTTTCATTCCTCTGAAAACAAATAACATTTCTGTAATGCGTTTCTGAAAGTGGTTTTCTGAGGTTTTTATTTTTTCACACTTTCTAGGTGGCCGGAATTGTTGGCAGAGCTGACGTGTTGGCATGCTTGCTGTTTCTGTTAGCCTTTCTCTCCTACAGTAGGTATGTATGTCTAAGAATGCCCTTATCTGTTTACAGTCATGCTGTCCCCTGGGAATTTCTGCTGTGTCTGTGTCTGTGTGTGTGTGTGTGTGTGTGTGTGTGTGTGTGTGTGTATGTTGACTCTGAGCTCCTGCCTGAGAGAGGAGGGAGGCTTCTTGGCAGTGAAATGCCCAGTGAGCTTCCTGGAGACCTGGGATAGGAAACCGTCTCCTTACCAAAAGCTAGGCTGTTCTCTCTTCCAGCCGCATTCTGAACCATGTCATAGCCTTTTAAAAGGACTGCTCTCCCAGTGCTGGGAAGATAAGCTCTTGCTTCTTGATTTCTCTTACTTGTAGTTTCTTACTGAGAATGGAATTTGAAATCTTAGCTCTGAGCCAAAATATACTGGGTCTAGTCCTCTCTTCTATTTAACTATGATTTGTTTAATTTCTCCTTTTCATTTTGGTCCTACATTTTGTTTTGTTTTTTTCCTCTTTATTATCCTCATTAAAGTAGCTCAAAGCTTAAAACAACAAGGCTGAATTGAAAGTAGTATTTCTCAACTGTGATTTTCCAATTTGCACATCCTTTCATCAAAATACAGAAGCTTCTTGCTTTGGTAGACTGAAAAACAGTAAAACAATTTCCCATTATATTGCCCCTTTCCCCCTAACTTGATCAGATTCTCACCTGAGTCGTGACATATCCACATAGGGAAAGGGGTGGGTAAAAAATGAAGGTAGGGCTTCCCTGGGGGCGCAGCAGTTGAGAATCTGCCTGCTAATGCAGGGGACACGGGTTCGAGTCCTGGTCTGGGAGGATCCCACATGCCGCGGAGCAGCTAGGCCCGTGAGCCACAACTATTGAGCCTGCGCGTCTGGAGCCTGTGCTCCGCAACAAGAGAGGCCATGATAGTGAGAGGCCCGCACACCGCGATGAAGAGTGGCCCCCGCTTGCCGCAGCTAGAGAGAGCCCTCGCACAGAAACAAAGACCCAACACAGCAGAAATAAATTAATTAATTAATAAAATCCCTGTTTCCACTTCCCACCTCACGTCATTGTAGTCATTGTTTATTAAAAAAAAAAAAATGAATGTAATGGGGGCAGGTGACTCAGAGGGTGGCCCAGGAGAAAGGGGGCCAGTGAGCCACATTGCCCTGCTTCCTGGAGGGATGCCTGGTTAAGGATTTGTGAACCTTGATCTCTGGGTCAGTTCATTGGCCTATAATCTTATAAAACCCAGTGACTCCAAGGAACACTGTTCTAAACTAGTGGTTCTCAGTAGGGGGCAGATTTGCCCACCTTGCCCCAGGGGGACATTTGCAATGTCTGGAGATACTTTTGCTTGTCACAACTGGAGAGGCACAGCTGGCATGTGAGTAGAGGCCAAGGATTCTAGAACGTGCGGGACAGCCCTTGTAACAAAGAATCATCTTCCCTAAAATACCAGTAGTGCTGAAACTGAGAAACCTTGTTGTAAACCAGTTTAGACCTTGGGTCAAAGATGGACTGAATTAAGCTTTATGAAGTTTTGCTTTAAGACCAGAGTCTCTTCTTAATATAGTACCAGGCTTCTAGTCCTGGCTTTGTAATCTCCCACTGCATTGCTAGGTATATAAAAGAGTGTTGTGAAAATATTAAAAATATAAACCCAAATTCAACAGTTGTTTCCTGTTTGCTCTGGTGTTAGAACAAGGTTAATAATCGCTTTTGAATTTGAACTTGATCTCTCAGGCTTCTTCTCTGTGTTGATCAATTTGGGAACATGAGTGGGCCCGCAGCATATCCGTATCTGTGTGATAATAAGCCACATTGTTACAGCTTTCAGTTGTGCAGGCCATTCGCACTTTGAGTAATTTTAAGCTATAAACCAGCTTCGGAGAAAAAGCCTGTCTCCTACAAATTTGGCATATAATTTAGGTGATTGTTCTAAGACATAACAATAAGGGTAAGATGTCACCACTTCAGATATATTGGCCTTCAAAAGAGTAGGAGCAAATTGGTGTGCCACCTGCGGAAGGAACAGTGGAATTTCTTGGTGTGGCGCTGACTCTGTTTTGTAAGGTGAAAAAAGACTTTACAGCAACTGGAGGGTTTTAGAAAATCCCTGCTGGAAATTATGCTGAGAAAAAAAAAAAAAGCTTACTTAAAGCTCATGAAAAAAAAAATTAAAATAAAAAAAAAACTTTACTTAAAGCTCATGAAAAATAAATTTAAATAAAACATAAAATTTTTATATTTTATATTTAATTTTTATATTTATATTTATATAAAAAATAAAATTAAAATAAATTTAAAACTACAGTTTAGAAACTAATACATTGTAAATCAGCTGTACCTCAATAAAAAAAAATAATAAAAACAGATTAGCCAGAAGAAAAGAAAAAGACTAAAACGTGTATTTTCATCACAGAAATGATGGTTGTGTTTGGTATATATCCACTGATTTCTTTGTACAGAAGCATATAAAATACCTTCACAAAAATAATAATAATGATAAACACTTAACATGTAATAAGTCATTTACTGAATCTTCCCTACAACACTGTGATCCCATTTCACACATGAGTGAACTGAGGCACAGGGAGGCAACCGACCTGCCCCATGTTACCCTGTTAGTTAACAGCAGAGCTGTGATTTGAACCCAGGGAACCTGGCTCCAGAGTTCATTCATGTGGCTTAGTAACCTGTTGTATTCACTTAAAATATATTCACCTAAACATCTTTCCATGTCACTGAATACATCTCTATGGTGGCATTTTAAATGGCTTTTTAGTGTTCCTTTGTTATATGCCATAATTTACCAGAATTTTTTTTTTTTTTTTCGGTACGCGGGCCTCTCACTGCTGTGGCCTCTCCCGTTGCGGAGCACAGGCTCCGGACGCGCAGGCCCAGCGGCCATGGCTCACGGGCCCAGCCGCTCCGCGTCATGCGGGATCCTCCCAGACCAGAGCACGAACCCGTGTCCCCTGCATCGGCGGGCAGACCCTCAACCACTGCGCCACCAGGGAAGCCCTACCAGAATTTATATATGCCTTAATTTAAGTACCAAATTCAGCATTGTTGGACTTTTTTCCATCTTTGCAAATTTTAAGTAACACTGTGATGAACATTCTTCAAGAAATCTTTGCTCACCTACTTACTCAGAATACAACGAAATTGGTGCTAGATCTTATCTTGAAAAGGTGGTTATTTCTTAGCGACCCACATTTCTTCTTAGAGTAAAAGCAACTCAACCTTGTTTTTCAGGAGTGTGGACCAGTGTTGTGTTGGGGAATGTTTCCCTCCCACGGCTTCTCCCTTCTTCCTGCTACTCAGTCTGTTTCTGGGGACCTGCGCGATGCTGGTGAAAGAGACAGGCATCACGGTGTTCGGCGTGTGCTTGGTTTATGATCTCTTTTCTTTATCCCACAATCATGATAAATCGTAAGTCATTTTAAAGTTTTGCTGTCAAGCAGTCCATGATGTGCAGAGAAGAGTTGCTTAAATCAATAGTTTTCAAGCTCTCATTAAAAAAATAGAGGTATAACATTTTGTTAAATGTAACCTCCTCTTAGACTATCATATAGTAAGGCTTATTTCCTTAGGATAAATGCATTATATATGTTTAAACTCTTCACGCTTTTATGAAAATCCATGAGGACTATAAAGTTTTTGTGAGCCCCAAATTTGGAATTGAAAAGTGTCAATGCTAATTGCAAGTTTATATCGCCAGATTGTTTTGGTTGCATACTACTGAGAAATCTTGATTCACACAGTGGAGTAGTTACAAATGGCAACAGTCTGTTAACAGCTTGACTTGAATCTCTGCCTTCAAATGCTAAATTAGAGTCGTTTACTTGCTCTAGGGATGATGCTTTTACCTAAGAGTTTTGGAAGGGGCCTTTTGGAATTCCACAGAGGGCCAGTCTAAACCCTACAGGAATAATTACACGTCATATTCAAGTTAAAGAACAAGTTTATTTAGTAGCCTGTTTTCATTTAAAAAACTTAAGGTACATTCATATTATCCTGTGGATTATAGATGATAAGAGTGACTAAGGCATATTAAAAGTTCAAGTACATACTATAATTTTCTTCCTCTATCAAATCCATAATTACTAACAATTTGACATGCCGACACTATTTTTCACTAATTATAAGGCCCTTACATTTGAACTTCTAATAAATGTCACTGATTTATTCTCCAGCTTTGTCCGATGAAGAATTTTATCTTAAAAAAAAATCCTGTCTTTTTAGCCCATTCCCTACCTCTTTATGCTTCTTGACATAAAGATAAGAGCAGTGCTAGTGAGTGGCAACAAGCTGAGATGAGTCATTTGATTCTGATCACCTTCCTGCCTGGGCGTACTTGGAGATAATTTAAATAGATTTTAGTGCTCTGTTGGCTCTCTGTAAATCTCAGAGGCATGTAAAAGGAAGGAGCCCAGTTATCATTTTGATCCAAGCTCAAGCCAAGAAAGCTGTGAGCCAAAGCACCGCCCCTAGGCTTATATGAGAATGCCTTTCGTCTGTATCCTCTCCACCCGTGGTAGTAATTGCATTGCTGACCTTACTATTTAGAGAGCAGCCTATCCACCCCTCTGGCTTTCCACTTTCTTCTGGCATCCGCTTTGTATCTTCCTCCCATCGTCTTTCTGCTTCTCTCTACTGACAGCAGAAGATGTGGCAAGTGTCTGCAGACCCTTGCCTTTGGTTCAGTCCAGAGATATTTTAACCTCATATCGACTGAAATAAAACACACAACTTGTGGGTTGAGAATTTTGTTTTATTTGGGGACATTGCCAAAGACTACAGCCTGGGAAGGCAGCCTCTCAGATAGCTCTGAGGGACTGTTCCAAAGAGGTAAGGGAGGAGCCGGGATGTATGATATTTTGCTGAAGAAAAATTTAAAAAAAACAACTATATAGTCGAAACTCAAAAGATTAGTGCTAATCACAAAAAATCAGGTATCTCAAGTTAATGATTTCAGTGCTTTTCTATATATGGGAAGATGCAAGAGTCTGGGCTCATTAAAATTGTTCCTTTGATATGCATCTCAACTCTCTAGGGTCAGTATCCTATTTTTCTCCATCCTGAATTCTCCTCAGGGCGCACCTTCCAGGCCCACTGCAGTGGCTGATAATATGATAGCAGGCAGCATTCTTGTTTAGCTCATCTTTGAAGTCGTATCTCCTCTGGTCTGAGGTCTCTCCAGCCCACTCCTTTTTTCTTCATCTGGTCACTGTTGAGCTAGGCTTTTTTCAAAGAGAATAATTGTCGTTTTAATTCCTTTAGTAATTGTTCTTGACCTTCATTATACCAAACTGCCAGAAGTTCTATTCTATGAAAAAAACAATACTGCTGATATGTAGCTTGGATGTTGCATAGCTCATAGTTGGTGGGGTTTCTTTGTTTTAGTAACTTTTAGCTCTCACAACCGCCAGCATCTCTGCATAGGTGGAGGCATTCATTCTTTCCGCCCACTTAACACATTCTCATTCTGTGCCTGGCCAAGAATAAGACAGTTAAGATTCCTTCCCTCAAAGAGCAATACTGGGGGAGACAGACGTTACATAAGTAGTTAACGCGAGTAACTGAGTACAGTGGTGAAAGTGGTGAGAAGGAACTGAGAGCAGGTAACAGGGAGACCTGGTCGATCACAGCATCTCTTGAGTGCAGGCCGTGTGCCAAGCACTGGGCCACGCCATTTACAGGTATGAAGTCACTGATTGCTCACAACAACTTTTACCCTCATTTTACAGAGGAGAGAATTCAGGCAGGCATAGAAAGTAACCTCTCCAGAGTCACCCATCCCCTATTGCGACTTCTGTCTGTGTGACTCCAGAGCCACAGGGCCTCCATGGAGCACACAGGACAGGGATTTGGAGACCCCCCAGGGCGTCTGCAGCTCAGAGCCTGGGCTCACATTTGTACCAGGAGACCAGCTCAGAGGATCTGTGTGTATTGGGGGGTCCTGACCCCTTTGAGAATCTCACAGAATCGTGTCCCCTTTTCCCAGAATAACGTACACACAAATTCTTATCTGCTTATTTAGAATAAACATCTTGGTACTAGGTTGTTCTTGAGGTCTTTTCATTGTATGATTCAGGAAACAGGAAAGAAACAACAGAAACAAGTGTTGGAAGCCCTCTCCTACGTGAAGAGCAATTTATTCCTAAATTTTAAGATTGGACCACACGAACAGAGTTAGATTTCTTTTTTGAGACATCACCTTTAGGAAGAAACATTTTCAGTGAAAGAGCAGCTCCTGAAAGTTAAATTTTTTTCTTTTTAAAAAATTAGCATATAATTGCCAACACGCAGAAGATAACGTTCCTTGACCCCAGTCCCTACCCTCTCTCTAGAAATAACCATGACCCTGAATTTGGCATTTTTCATTTCTAGGGCGGTTTGCTTGTTATTACTTCATAAGTATATACCACTGAATATCAAATAGCATTGTTTACATACTTGCAGACTTTATACAAATTGTGTCTCTTGCTTTTCTTTTCATTTAACATTGGATTTTGAGATCCATCAATGTGGATACATGTGGCTATAGTTCCTTCATTTTAACTGTTGTGTAGTATTTAATTATCACAATTTATCCATCCTTCTGGAGTTTGAATTTAGGTTAATTTTACATTTTTGGCTATTATATAGCATGCTTCAGGTAACCTTTGTGTGCACGTACTTCCTGGGGCATAACCACAGAAGTGTTGCTGGGGCCACAGATGCATACATGTTCACTTTGTTGATCTCACTGTGAACTGTGATTTCACTTGTTCACTGTGAGCAAGAGACATTGCTTTTGAAATGACTGGAGTGCAGCAGTGGATGAGAATCCCCTTTGTTCCACATTCTCCCCATCACTTGATAGTATCAGACTTTAAAAGTTTTGCCCAGCTGGTGGTTATGAATTATATCATCTCAGAAGATTCATGAAGGAAAATGTGAGAATACATTGGGGTGGATCAGCTGTGGAAAAACATTTCACAAGATCATAATAATGTAAATCCCGAATATCACTTCAACTGAGTTAGGAGAATTCAAATTATATTTATTATGAGAGAAATATATGTGGAAGATGAGAAGAGAAGAGGGTGGTTGTGAATGTGTGTGTGTGTGTGTGTGTGTGTTTGTGTATTGGTGATCACGTAAAAGGGACTGAGTCCTCATCTTCTATGGTAGCAACTCAATAAGACAAGTTCTAAAATTAGAAATAATATTATAATTTAATCTTATTTTAAAAATATCGTGATGAATACCAGAAACAGAAGAGCTAAAAGACTTGTGGACGGTTGCTTCCATGGAACAGGGCTTGGCGATGGGACAAGGGATTGCTGTTCCTTGTTGCAGGTCTTGTCATTCTGTCTGACTTTGTTTCCCCTCCATTCCATGCACAATTAGGAGCAATGGGGTCGTACATCAGCGCAGCCCACAGCGGCCCGGGAGCTCCCTGCCCACCGCACCGCCAGCGCACCCTCTCCGGGAGAACGGGAAGCAGCAGCGGTTCCCTCACAAAGGAGCTTGGGGTGGCTGCCATACTCCATTGCCACCTGAACCCAAGAGCAGTGGATTCCCTGTGTCTCCTCGAGCTGTGTGGTCCTTGATGAGGTACTGGGCTGTGCTCCTTGACCTTGCGTGTTTTCACCATCCAGCATCACCTGTTGCAGGGGAATCGCTAGAGAAGTGAAGCACCGAGTGGGTTCTTTGTGACACCCGCCCACACTTGTTTCCCTCCTTCTTTCTTTTTCCTTCCCCATCTCCCTTCCTCCTGCCTCCTTCCTTCTCTTCTTTCCATTCCTTCCTTATATTAGATCAGATGAGAAAGGAGTAGCTGGAAGAAGCAAGTAGAAGCCCTGCTGTCTGCTGTTATTTGGAAGGAGAGGGTGAGGCTCTGAAGCCTCCATTAAGAAGTGCAGACATATTGCTGCTTCCCTAATGGAAGAGCCCTGGGCATCAGAGAGCAAGGCCCCTCAGTTTTCTGGGGGAGGATAGCTCTACCTTCTGCTGCTCTGTCTCTCCCTGCTCTTGGTGTGTGATAGGAATTTATTACAGCACAAGTATGGGAGTAAGCCCAGGGGACACTGCCTCTCAGAAATGTTTTTGAGGGTACAGGAAAATCTTTTTTTTTTTTTTAAAAAAGAAACATCTTTATTGAAGGATAATTGCTTTAAAATGGTATGTTAGTTTCTGCTTTATAACAAAGTGAATCAGCTATACGTATATGTATATCCCCATATCCCCTCCTTTTTGCATCTCCCTCCCACCCTCCCTATCCCACCCCTGTAGGTGGTCACAGAGCACCGAGCTGATCTCCCAGGGTACAGGAAAAACTTTAAAGGATTTTCTCTCTTTTTTTGAATCTTTTGACCTAGCCATGAAAATTAACATAGATTTATCAGAACTCATTAAATTAGCTTGCCTCTAAAATAGCTCAAGCCATGGGCAAGTCAGAATTTAATAAAGATGGAAATTTGACTCATACGATTAGCGGTTAAACAGCAGATTGCTATTCTTATTCTTCTGTGCAGTCCCAGAAAACTCCCTCTTTTCTGGGTCTTTGTTTCCGATTATTCCTGCGGAAACCTGTCTTTTGGATCGTGCTCCATTTATTCGTTCATCAACAAAGATCTATTGAGGGTCTACCACATGCCTGGCATGTTCCAGGCACCAGGGATGTCCTGGTGAATAAGGAAGACAGGGGTCCTTGCCCCTGTGTAGCTTCCCTTCCCGTAGAGGAGGACACACACTAAATAACCAACAAAGAATGAACAGTGTGGTGGAGAGTGGTGGGTGGGCCTGGCTGGAGCAACTGCATGTTGGTTGGTCAGGAAAGGCCCACAGAATCCTCATGGATGAGTGGAGCAGCTAGCCCTGCTCAGATCTGGGCACAGGGTTCCAGACTTGGGGAAACGAGCAAGTGGGGTTTGGAAGGGGCGAGCTCAGGGGGTGGGCAGGCCCAGATGGGGAAGGGTGTGTTGGCCATGGAAGTGAGTTTGGATTTTATTCTGAGTGGAAAAGGGAGACTTTGGAGGGTTCTGTTTGTTATCGTTGTTGTTGTTTGTTTAATGTGGAGGAAAATGGTTACATTAAGAATGTTCACTCTGGCTTCTTGTAGCGGATGACTAAGGGGCAAGAGTAAGGCAGGGAGACTTTCATACAGACTGAGGGGAAAAGAAAGGGTCTTGGCCGAGGCTGATAGAGACTGAGGTGGAGGGATATGGTGGATTTGGGATAAGTTTTGGATATACATCTAACAGGACTTGCTGATGTTTGGGGTGAGGGGTGAGGGAAAGGCAGGAAACAAGGCTGTTTGTGTTTCTGGCTTCAATAGTTGGGTGCGTGGTGGTGTCAGTTACTGAGATGGAAAGGCTAGAGGGAAAATAAGTTTGGGAAAGGATAAAATCACAGTGATGCTTGAAATTCCTGAGCAAGGAAGCAGAGAGGTAAATAGTCAAAACCTTGAGGATATCTTGACTTTTTCCATAACACGGCATGAAGGAAAAGAAGACAGAATATTTGGGGAAATTGTAAATTTTTTAAGGAAGGCAGAGGAGGAGAAAAAACAAGAGTTAATCGCACATTACAGACTTTCAAGGAAGGACAAAGGTCAGGCTGCAGTGTGACTGAGTTCCATCAGGGCAGGGACCATGTCGGCTTCTGATCACATTTGTATTCCCAGTTCTTTTCATAGTGTCTGGCTAAGAGTAGTTGCTCAAATATTTGTGAAATGAATAAATTAATGAGTAGGTGGTAAGAAAGTATTGGAATTAAGCATAAATAGAATATTTTCAGTAAATTTGGTAATGAAGGGATGGGGCAAAGGATGTTAACTCCAGGGGTGTTAGGTTTTTGTTTTCATTTTTATTTTAAATTTAACGCGTGTGTGTATGTAGGTAGATAACTTGTAGAGAGTAGAGATGGAAGGTGCAGGAGCAGAAAGGAATAAGATGAAGTATGAATACCAGTGGTACACTGGTAAATGCTTAATAACTGGCTCTCCAGAGAAAGTAAATCCTGACTGGTGTTGGCCAATTTCCATGTAAATACTCTTACCATGGCTGATTTGAAGCTACAAATGTGACATTGCTGAACATGGAGTTGGGAGAGGTGTGCCATAGCTCACCATCATGAAGCGTTTCCACTGCTCAATGGACAATATATGTAGTAACCTCAAGAGCATAGATAACAGTAAAATGAAGGAAACTAATTAGGAAGCGATGAGCCTTGAGTACTTATTACCTTTGTTTTTAGCATGATTTAAGTTTATAGAATTATTTTAAGATATATATTAATATATACAATATATTTACATACGTATGATTTATTATAGTTATATAATTTAATTTTCAATAATGGCTGTATTTAATAACTGGCCTGCAAAATTTCTGAAAATTTAATAGTCATCTCTAGCAAGCCAGTGTGAGTCAGCTCCAGCACTCCAGTGAAGAAGGTCTTTCAGGAGGGGAAGAAAACTTTATATCTGTGATCCATCCACTATGTACCAGGAGGTGGGCTGGCATTTCCCACATGTTATCCCATGCAGCCATCACAACTTTCGTGTAGGGTAAACCTTAGAGTTTGCATTATCAGGTGGATATGGAAGAAGTTAAATGATCATTTAAAACATTTGCATAGGGGCCACCGGTGGCGCAGTGGTTGAGAGTCCGCCTGCCAATGCAGGGGACACGGGTTTGTGCCCCGGTCCGAGAAGATCCCACATGCTGCGGAGCGGCTGGGCCTGTGAGCCATGGCCGCTGAGCCTGCGCGTCCGGAGCCTGTGCTCTGCAACGGTAGAGGCCACAGCAGTGAGAGGCCCGAGTACTGCAAAACAAACAAACAAACAAACAAAACATTTGCATCGTTAGTAAGTGGTAACATCAGGATTGGAACTCAGGCTGTTTGACCCCTAATCCTTTGCTTTTGCCTGTTTGTTATGCTCTGAAGTCCAGCTTCCCGGTTGAGGACTTGGCTTTGGGAAGGAGGCAGGACACTTGTTTCATGCTCTGTGGAGCTGGCCTCCCTGTTGAACTCTCGGGGGTAGAAGATTCTTGCAGCCATCCTTGGGTCAAAAAATGAGGCACCTTCTGACTTACTTCGATATAGGGTGTTGGTACTAATACATTGAATTAAATGACATGCTTTTTTTTTTTTTTAAACTCCGAGCACCAGCCTGCTTTAGAAAGAATTATGCCTGGAGAGCAGTACATAGGACAACTGGAACTGGTCGGGGTCTTAGTAAGTTAACATGTTTGTGGGTAAGAAAGACCATTATCCTTTCATGGAGGGGAAGGTTGTCATGTATTTTCTTTCTTTGGAAAGGAAAGGTGTCATATATTTGACTATAAATTTGATTAGTATCAAAATTATTTTAAAAAACTGTGTGTGTCCTTTTGTCAGAAGGTGATCAGGTAAAGAAAATAAAAGTTCAAAGAGGCAATGTTATTTGAGTTCTGAAGATCTCTGCAGACAGTGTTTAAATCATGGCTCCTTCACTTACTTGATCCTAGACAAGTTATTTTATCTCTGTGAGCCTCAGTTTTCTTATCTCCAAAAGGTGGAACTAATCATAGCACCTTCCTCTCAGATTGCTTGTCAGGTCTCAAAGCTGTAGCCTGCATAATAAACACGTAAATAGGTGCCTGGTCCACAGTAGTCAGTGTGGCAGCCCACAGCATCATTAGTAGTAGCTTAGTATTATGAATATTATTATTCCTGTGTGAGTTTCTAAACACCAGGATGTATCCTGAAACTGGTGAACCTGCAGTATGCAGGCAAGGGATGAGTTTGTGTGAGATTTTTTTTGCTTGAACTTTGAAACTAGTTGCTAATATGTATTTACATTGCATGCATGGCATTAGGCTGTCAAAAAATTGGACTAAATACTATCAGGTAAAACATTTTCTGTAGTTACCAAATACAGGAGAATTCCAAAATCCTACTGCAAGTCATTTATTTAGTTTCCTGTTTCTCTATGTGACTTAGTGATTGGCTTATGGGTAGCAAGTGCAATGAAGAACCTAGCACTTAGGGTATACACTCTGGAATCAGATGAAATTTCAGTTGATACCACCTTTTACTCAGTTGTTCCATGTGCAATGAGAAATGTTTTGTATGTAAACCTTCCTTCTCCCTACCCTCTTCATTATATCCAGTTCATTCACGCATGGACACATTTTCCCTTTCACCTTAGAAAACTCAGTGAATTCTACCTGAACTCTTATCCTCGTAACTCATACCTATATCTGTAACTATATGTAGTCATTTTTCATATAGAGACTTGATGGATTTCACATTTAAATGACAGTGATTATGGTTGGTGTTGAAGACAGTTCTTGGCTCAATAAATTCTTGCTCTTTTCCTCTTCTCTTGCTCTGTAGCATCTGTCATGAATCATTCATTTGTCAGTATTTACTGAATGCCTCCTATGTGCCAAGTAATGTTTTAGGTGCTGGGAATATATGGCAGTGAAGTAAACAGAGCTCTGCCCTCATGGAACTTAGCTGGGTGATGATCATGATATTTTTACTAAAATGGGCTCGTTTCCTACCTTTGTGGGTAAGACAGCGGTCATATTTTTCACTTCAGTGTGTCTTAAAAGTTTTTCTTG